TCACCTTACTATCTGTCTGTAACATAGTACAAATGACGATGTGGTAAATATGACACAAATGACTCCATCTAGTAAAATTGATTTGAATGATTATGCAAGATAATAAAAAAATCGCATAGGCTCACTAAAATTCAAACTAAGTGAGCAGTATAAATATATTGATGATCATTGTTAAATTATTCAATGTGGTCAAATCAACTGATGATTTCCATATACAAGAATAACATGATCTGCTAGTTGTTAAAAGATTACTGAATGAGTTTGAACGTATAATAATGATTCAGAAAAATCAGATTATTTGAATAATCAGATATCAATTGTCTTGAATAAAAATAGTGCTAATGAAAATAATCGTAAAGAAATTTTTGTTCTGCAAAATTCCAAATATATGTGTGTGATGGTTAAGATTAATAGAGTGTCGGTGTGGGTATGGGTGTAGAGTGTGGGTGAACAAAAGACATAGAGCCACACCAACATCCACCCAGATCCACGCCCATACACCCCACATCCACAAACCCACACCCTGATAACCCACCGCGATAGTAAATACAGCAACACACATCCCACTAGGAAACTTCAAAATCTCTTTTTTAGTCCCGATCCCGGTGTTTGGCAATGGCTTCATTTCTAAAATCGAGCAAATTTTTTTACGATCCGTGTACTTTTATGAATATATAAAATTGATATGAGTGATTTTGATTCGTTAGCAGTACGAGAATTCTTTTATATCCAGTGTTAAAGTTGAAGAATTTCACTGAAAGCCCGAATAAATAAAAATAACCATTGAATTTTGTTAAAAATTCTCATGTACTTCGTAGCAGTCATTTACTTGTTTCTCTCTTCTTTTATATCTACTGCTCTACCTAATGGATTTATTATCGAATTGATTATTTATACTGAGTAGCCATTACGATTGTCAAAAAAAGATAAATGGTGACACGTATCTATTTACTATTATCTGATAAGACTTAAATACAGGAATCATCAAAGACTGAATGAATTAAACTTACGTATATAGTGTTGTGTTGGTTGTTTTATATGTATTCAACAACCTGTGCAATTGGAAAATTCAGATTCTTGCAAACAGACTCGTAATCAGTAAAGACTTTATAGAAATAGCAAATAAAAATATCTGATTTTCAGATCTTTAATCGTGTCAAAATAATAAACGTGAAAATATATTGCATAAAAAACTGACCGGGACCAGTTGGAACAATTTTTAGTCTCGGTCCCGCCTGGACCGGAACCGGGACCATTTTTTGAGTTCCCTAATTAGTGGTCACTGAACAGTCTCTTCCTCTGCTACCAACAAGCAAAGAAACTCGAACCCTCAATAACATTGTGAACCTTTTGTTAGATATGTGAATAATCTTGTTAGTCAAGGAGGGTTATACGATCATGACCTAGCGACTTATCCTATTTTACAATGGGCATCTGAAAGTCTATTGTAATTTGAAGATGAACACCTTTCTTACTGGTGAAAACCTAATACAAAAAAGTAATATTGTGAGTGTACTTTACATACGCGGGTTTGTTCATAGAGTAAGCGATGGTTACATTAAGTTTTACTCTTTCATGCAAGAGGAAGGACCTGTTTATATCTTTCTTCGATTTCTCCAATGAAGAAACGGAGAGAAAGCAAACTTTGAAATTTTCGAAAATACTTTCATACACTTACAACGACCGTAGACAGTATATCAGACGTGCGACATTAAGATGTTGTCGTACACTGTAGAAAATAGGTGTAGCATAGGGTATGGGTGTGAAAGTGGATTATTTATTCGCCTACACCCGAGTTGCGCTTTTTGGGTGTGGGTTTGGGTGTAGATCTTCTCATCACACAAACACTCACCCCCACACTTGCTCTCACCCACACCCATACTCTCTTACTACAAATAACTATAATAATGTTTCAATGTAAAGCAGTGAACTCCTGGATTTTTATAACTCAAAACAAACTGCATATTTTACTTTTCATGACTTTTCCAATTAACTCCAACACAATTTATCATGGATTAATAAGGTGCTCAGTTTTTGTGTTGAGTGACATCTACACAAACATCATGTTTATTGTAAAATATTTTCTTCGCTATTATGTTGATATATTTTGCGTATTTCGATTTGATTTGATCAAAAATATATTCATGTTTTTGTTGTACTCAACTGAAAATTATTGTAACTTGATTCGTCATGTTATAAACATCTGCTTTCATCATTCATGAAATATTGCTATTCTGTATGAAGTAGACGAAAAAGGAGACGTCTGAAGGAATGTTGTTGTTTTTTTTCCTGCTTTTCCTGACACGTGAAATGTATCAACCAATGAGTTTATTAACAACCTTATAACTTATTGCGAATGTTTTTCATCAGCATTTAATAAAGAATTACTCATACTTTAAAGGTAAGTTTTGTAAGCACTTATAGAAAAAAAGCCTCTTTTACATGTTTCGTTTGTGGCAAGAATTTTGAAAGCATGTGCATACGTTTTAGACAGAAATTGAAAGCAATATACTGAAGTGTACGAATCACGAGTATTGGTATTGATGAATGTAGAGTCAATATCTAAATCAGAAGTACGCAGGATGTGATTGAAGAGGTGAGTTCTAAGAGAAGTTCATGAATCTATGAGGTTAGAAAAAATTTATCCTACAAAAATATTAACATCTTACAGGATATTGCAAAGATCATTACTCTAAATGAATTCATTCCACTTTGTTCTATATTACTGAAATGAGCTAAGTTTTATTGTTACCAATACAAGATTCATCGACCAGAAGATCACCAAACACTATCGTTTGAGTTTTTTAGTTTCTGATTATTTAAATTACGCTTTTTGTTGTCTCGAATGGATAAAATAAACGAGTATTATTTCATTCAGAAATCAAAAGTAAATCTTATTCACGTACAACATGTATAGGGTATCACCTTGTTTCAAATCTCAATTTGATTTGATTTTCGCAGTGCACAATTTTATTTCTATGAGAAAAGATATCATCTATCGAAACGGGTATTATTATCCTAGACAACTTTAGATGTAATTAACAGCGAAAGATTCTTTCTGTTGTATTTATTGGAACTCTGTTTTTACCATTCTACAGATTTGATATCATCTTAAAGCTTTTGATTTTTCTAACATAGAAATGGATAATCATCAAAGCAAACCGAATGTGCATGATAGTGAAAGCGAAGTGCGCGATGATAATTTGCAAAAACCCAATATTTACAATAAATATTTACCATTCTATGAATCTATCAAACGGCATGCTTTTGAATCATTTGATGAAATTCGAGAAAATTTATCACGTACTATTCAATTGGGTGAATTGCATCCGAGCTTTTCGGTTTGGTCATCTGCATTGAAGCGGTTCATTGATGTTTATGGATTCTGTTTCATCAAAGCAGATCATATCAAGCTTATTAATTTCTATATGTCTGTTCTTTCCATTACGGATCTTAATTATTCTCATGCAAAAATATGTTTTGACATGCTCTTCGAACTTCTGCAGTTCAGTTTTTCTTGTATTTTAAAGAAAACAACTGATTAGATGATATTCTTTTGTTTTTTTTAGTAAGACTTGTTTGCTTACACGCGATGAACTAACAATAGATTGGCACATATTGTATCGATGGGCCAAACTTATTTTGTATAATCATGACGAACAATATTCATTAGTCAAACTACCAAAGTTCGTTTTTTATCTTTTCAAAACTCATAAAAATACTTCCTAATTTTTAAGACTTATTGACATTTCATTCAACTGTTGTATTGAACTTTGTTCTTCATACTTTTCGGTAACTGCTACTCAAGAAATTCTTGATCAATTTCGTCCATATTTATGTCCACACGATTCAGCATTTTCTGATGCAATTAAAATGTTCGATTCGTTTCTGCCGGTCGATTTGCCCCCGGATTTACATAATCAAGGATTTAAGTATGTTGACTTTTAATAGATTCGTTCACTATATCTGCATTTTAGATTATGGTTAACAGAATTTTTCGGCATTTGGGATAGTATTTATAATAATACGGAGAGTGATATATGGGAAATGGTGACTTTCTTTCTTGTTTTGTTTTTTATCAATTATGTTCATTCGATCTAATCATATTTTAGTATCTATTTCATCTCTTTTCAAATCTTGCTTGGCATAATATTGGTTACATAGATTGGGAACCTTGGTTAGCACAGGTGATACCATTAATAGTTTAATATATTCCCTACTGTTCAAATATTTGTCATATAGATTTTTACACGTATACTCAATCGTTTTTCACTTCCTATAGGAAAAAATCATGGATTACAAGAAAGCTCTCCGTATATGATGATAGATGTGGCACGATGGCTTGTAGCCATGATTGGAAATGGAAGTTCATGTCTTCAATATATGCGCGAACTATTTATGGCTATTAAAGTTTTCTATCATCCATCAAATACTGGAGAGTTTCAAGAGTTTCTTATTGAATTGATTTTGAAACTAGCTGAACAATTTGTTGAACGAGTACAATTGTGAGTATAGAGGAAACCTTAGATATATTTTCTTCTTATCTTCATAAAATTTTTATGAAAGTTATTTATGACAATAAGTATTAGAACGTAAGACATTTTTTAAAGTTTTGAGATCAGCTGTTTCATTATTCAGCGTGTAATTGATCTATATATTATAGAGAACAAAAAATTCTTCCTCATTGGAATTTTAAACCACATGAATCGCATCGATTAACTGAACAAAATATTACGGACTTTGTCAGTTGTATCAAAGATTATGTATTTATATCTATTTGTAACCAAGACTATATTGAAGATGTAGCTAAAGCCTGTCAATATCTTTCTATATTGCGACCAGAATTGATTATACCGCCGATTATAGAAAGGTCTAATAGTTGTAATCGTTTTCTAATTCATTGTATATTAATTCATTCTGTAGACTATTCTTATCAGTTGACAATATGACTGAACCAGATCGTTTCACATTAATTATGAAATGTTTACCTGGTATTGTTCGTCAAATAGTACGACAAACACCAACCTATTCCGAAGGTCAAACATATGTATTACCTTTATTGATGTCTGTATTACCTGGTATTGATTCAAATGATTTCAGAAAAAAAGAAGTTACTTTTGAAGTTCTCGACGCTATTCTTAAGCTAGTACCATGTGTTGATTGTTCATCGACGGTATATAAACGGACCGATCTTACAGAAGTAAGACTTTGGCTTCTTATAGACTTCTCTATATCTTTGTCTAGATTGAAAAACAAGTATGTTTATCGACAACACAATTTGAAGATTTCGTCACTGATTTTCTCAATCGAATATTTCAAATGATTTCTCAACGATCGACTGAAATATCCGATGCTACTGTGACTAACAATAAGATCAATTGGGAAGATGAAACTATCGATATAAAATTAATATCAATAATGTCTAGCATTGTTCAACAATGCAGCAGTAAAATCTTTCAAGTATGTACAAATTCAAATCAATAATCGAAGCGAAATATATTATTAGGATTGGTTTTTAAAGTGTTTGTTTAATAGCAGGATTCTTAAATAAGATACTAATAATTCATATAATTGGTCATGTTTGACGTTTCTTCGAGATGTTCCACTTGCTTTTACAGGGTCGAAAGTACTATTTATCAGTATGTATGTAAGATAGTCGAAAAAATGTTGTGAAAAGATTTAGATCTTGGAAAAACTGAAAATTATTTAATTATATTCCATATATATATTTTTTGAGAATTTTCATTAATGTCTTCTATTAAACAAATGAATCAGTATATTTGTGGAATATTTAGATAATTCGCGATAAAATAACAGAATTTCTTACTGGTTCTATATTTTCGCGTAAAATACAAAAACTTGTTGCCAGTTTTGTTCGAATAATGGTTAAAGTAAAACCCATCGAAATACTCAAATCTTTCTTACCACAAACATGTGAACATATTGAAAATATAATAAATCATTCACGAACAACCATATTGATGGATCACAGAGGTGATATTGAATTGACTTGGTATTTAACTCTCTTTTCGGAACTTGTTCATGCTCGTGGTGGTACTTTACTTATTTACAAAAAACTTATTATATCTGTCTTTCATCAATGTATTCGTATTATTCATAAACATTCATATGAAACTATTGCTAAAGCAGCTAAATATTTATTGAAATCACTTACTCAATTCTATCCAATTCGTTCTCGATTACCAATTGAAAATTTCAATGAATCATTCGCTGAATTTTTATCTATTCGAGTAAGTTTTCTAAACTGATCGCTTTTACGAAATACTTCAATGAATCAGATTTACCTACTGACTTTAATTTCTTATTGTTGAGACTTGGGGTCAATATGTTGATTTCGATCAATTTCAAATTCAATTTCGTTTTCCTGATGCAAATGAAATTGATTTTGCTTGTGAATTTGTTAATACATTCATTTATGATGAATTTCAATTGTTGAATGAAAAATGTTTACAACTATCAAATGATGAACGATTGAGATCACTTACACTAATTCAATACATAGCAATCGGATGTCTACATATGGTACCTAACATTGAAAGTAATCTAGTAACAAATCTGTGAGTATACAATAAGAATAAAATTTAATATATATTGTATTATTGTTGTCACAGTGTAACATCAGTTATTCCCTATAGTTCAAAATATCGATTTCGATATTCAATGTATTCTAAAGAGCCAAGTAAGAATTGATATCTATATAGTATTTGTAACAATAAAGATTTTTCTTTAGAATTTAGAGATAATTTACGTATGCGTATTCTGATTGATATTGGAAATTTACTTGGTAAATCGTCAATTGATTGGCCAATGAATGTAAAAGAAATTCGATTTTGTTCTTTGTTTATTTAGATACACTTGTAGAAAATCATTCCGATGATGTTTCATCAATAAAAACAGCAATAAATGTATGTTTAAATCGATTTGATTGGCAATTATATTTATATTTAATTGTAGATCTATGCATTGCCATCTACTTATTATGGTACATCTCCTAATGATATATACGGATTATGTATCAATATCGATTCGGATGAAAATTTATTCAAAGATCGACTTGGTGGCAAACGACAAAATCCTCGATTTTTAATAGTCAAACAAATTATGTTACATATCAAAGTAGAGGAAATTCAAATATATATATATAAATGACTGTTTCTTCTTTTAGATATTCGAATTATATCATTTGGAAACTTTTACAGAGATCGATAAACAAATCGTATTGAAACTATTTGAATTATCAATTAATCGTTATAGTGAAGTATGTTTACCTTTTTCTAATGATAATATCTTTAATTTTCATACATTAGATTCGTTGTAATGCACAAGTCAAATTATTCTCTATTTTGAATGAATTCAGTTTTGCATATCAAGTAATTGTTGATCGCATCAATGAATTGTTGAATAAACAGGCTGAAATCGATCATGATCAAATCAAAGTTTGTCATTTCATTTTTCTATTTATCATAGAACTCATATTTCTCTATAGGGTTGTCTATATATTCTTCTTGGTGATGATTCCTTTTTCTTACCTACTCAACATTGGTGGACGATGATGGAAAGATTATGGCCATCAATTGTACGTTTGAATCATACGAATAAACTGAGCATAACAAATGTAATTGATGAGATCAGTACTAAAATAATCGAAGAATTTCATACGCCACCTCTCATTGAAAATATCAACAAAATGTCTGTGGATTCAGCAGTTACTTTATGGCGTCAGTTAAATTCAGGTGAAATGAAAATATGTGAAGAACAACATAGAAATAAAATTCAATCTTATAATAATCTTATGGAAATGCTTAATACATTACTAAATGATGATAAATCGTTAGTTTTATTTTTCAATCTAATACATTTTAGTTTGTACATTCAGGGCATGGAAACAACAAACGATATCTATGTCATTTATGTGTCTTCTTCTTCAAAAGCAAATACCAATTCCGTTATCATGCATTCGAACATTTGTCAATTATCTTATTCATGATAATATGGAATTACGAAAGGTTAGTCGACAAATTGTTACTTAAAAATTTTGTAAAGTTTTCGATTGTACTTGTTCAGTATGCTATAATGGGTATGATAGCATTATTTCGTTTGCAAAAGCCACCTCGAATCTTGATAGAAAAACCGCTTGATGAAATTCTTCGTTATGAACATCAACAATTACCCATTACCATCGATGAAAAATGTTCTCCAGGTGATCGCGATGATAATTTATGGGTAACAATTAATGATTATAAAATACCTGATAAACAAATCGAATGGGAAGAAACATGCTTTATGGATAAACCTTTTCATGGGTATTACAAATGGCCAAAAGTTATTGAATATTGTATGAATAAACGTGTACGCTACACTCAGCAGACAATGCCAGAACAAGTTGCTATTGTGTATGATCGCTTTATTGATAAGAATTTCATAATACAATTGACACAATCTGCGGTCTTGGATGAGGATGATGGTGACATAAACTTTAGTGAAAATCGATTTCTAATGTATAAGGTATATATAGTAAACATAAATCATGAACCACTAGTATTTTGAAAGAAGCTTGTCTCAAATGCAAAATACCTGCTATGCTTTTGCGTAGAATACATTACTTTTTACTAACTGAATCAGAGCTCCAAGCAGGTCATATGGTCTGCCTGCCTGCCTGCCTGTGATAGGCACAGGCCACGATATTTAGGCCTGGCCTGTGACAGGCAGGCCGTCTGGCCTATCTAATTTGCTTTTAATATAAAGTTCTAATCTTTTAAATTGCATCCTTTATGGAAAAAAGATTGGGATTAATTAATTTTCAATGATGACAGTTTAATATGACAAATTATATGAGTATTTAAGTATAAAGATTGAAAAAAAAGGAAACAAAATTCATTGCAATGGTGAATATGTCATCAGAAGAAAGGAAGGGTTATTAAAAGTGGTGAAACTGGTTTTTTCGCAAAATTTTGTTTCTTTCCTATGCGAAACTGTTAGACGACGCTCTAGAAAATGATCGTTTGTACAATCAGTCCTATTGTTTTTACTGTATGCAGATCGTTTGAAGTAGTAAATAATCCCCATGCATATTATACTCGAGCATTAATGATAATCAGGTCTACGCAACTTTCTTTATACTAGTCGATCACGCAAGTTTTAATATATTTTGATATAGATTTCTTGCACGACAAAGTCTTCTGAAAGATCAAAGAAAAACATTGATCACTGGAAAGCATCCTAGGAATATTGTTTCTGGAACATGATATTTAAGATGTACTTGACTAATATTTGTTGATTTCGATGAGAAAAAATAAGGTTTGAATAAAAATAAAAATCAGATTATGAATTAGTATTTAAACATCGACTTGGTTCATGTGAATATTAAAACTTTTTCTAATCGACAAAATGGATCGTCTGTCAAAACAGTTTTATTAGTGAGAAATACTTCTATTACTGCATAATTCCACGAGGACAGATAATGATTTATATGAAAAACATCTAAACATCGCGTTAGCAAAAATAAAATGATTTATTTTTAATCAAACGATAGTTTTTCAAGTAAAAACCTATGACATTTCAGTCAAAAAAAGATTCAGCGTTATGCTTCAGAAATAGTTTTTCGATCGTATCAAGTATGGACCGCTCCTCAATATTTTTCATTATTCTTTTCCATTCATTTTGAACCCTAACTAGCTCAGTTGATGCTGAACCATCTTTTTCTGCTTCAGGTTTCGTAATCGTTGCATACGAATTCTCTTGCATGTATTAATAGGAGGGGCATTTTATCTTTTGGATTCTTATAAAATGCTTTGCAACAAAAACCTGATTGTTTTCGTCAATAGAAATGCCTTTCTATTCTTTTATTTTCCACCATATTAACACTTTGCAATTTACATATATTAAATGCCGGGTAAAACCTTACACTTTCGACATCCCAACAATAATAGCATCTCATTATAAAGAACAATCTAGACTCATGCAGAGCGTTTCTCTTCAAAATCGATTACTTTTGGGTTGAAGTCTTCTTTTCGTGAAACAAACATAAATACTTTTTGCTACAATAAACTTTCTAAAGTTAACTTTTTTCCTGCTCTTAACCTCACGTGATATAATGGAAACGCAAGAAAAGAATACTTCTGTATATTAAGCACGTTTAACTAGTTTCTTTGATGTTCACATTAGAGAATTTCTATTTGGATCATCTAAAGTCATTCAACTGACGTGTTGAACTTCCTATAAAGATTAACAATTGAATATATTTTATTATCATCATGATATTAAGCCCAAAGAAAAGTAGACAGGCAGACTGAAGGAAATGACAGGCAAGCAGGCCAGGCCGAAGAAATTTTAAGACAGGCGCAAGCAGGTCAGGTCTTTAAAAAGTGGGCCTGCTTGGACCTCTGAACTGAATACTTTATGATATATCTAAGAAACATCAGTTTTGCCAATTTCCATTGTATGACTCAACGGAAATTCTATATATTCATGGATCAAATCGATCATAACTTTAGAAATTAAATATAATCATAATTAATTAATAAACACATTTTAACATCTAGGGCCTCTTTCGTAATTTTGGTAACGTATTAATCGAAAATCTTATGGAACAACTCTACGCACTTATTCTTGAAACGATAGAAGAAAAACAAGAAGGTTGTCATCGTGCTGCAGCTGAAATTGTAGCCGGCATGATTCGTGGTTCGAAACATTGGACATTAGAAATGGTAAATGAAAAGTTGTGCCTATTCATTCAATAGAATTGTTTTAGTTGGATGAACTCTGGATGAAACTCATTCCGTTTCTCGATGAAGTATGGAAAAATTTTAGTTGTGAAAATCGCTATTATTGGAGTTTGTGTTTCAAGTATGGCATGGTTAGTCATTCTATGTAATTTTTGTTGCTTTTTCTTACGAAACTCTTTGTTTTTGTATATAAGGAAAATCAAGATCCTCGTCGAATGTGTCGATTAATTGATTATATTTGTTCTTTGGTCACTAATAATCATATGATGGAAACTGCATTCAATGAAGCATCTCGATGGTTTCTTGTCCAAGAATTGAAAACTTTTCAATGGCGTATTCCATCTGTTTGGTGTATTATTAATAATTATGCCAAAGAATTACTTGATCATCCATTTAAAACTGTTCGAGTATATATTGCTGAGTCAGATATTTCAAGTTTATTCATTCAATTTAAATTAAAATTGTTTGTTTTTAAATTAGTATATTATCAATGTCAATTAGTTTTGATATCATATTGCCGAATGGAAAGTCAATACGACATCCTAATATCGATCAATTCATCGATACTATAAGCGAACGATTACATCAAGCTATTGAAATTTATGAAAAAACTCCATCGGGTAATCTGTGATTTTTCTTTTATCTTGATTCAAGAACAAATTATAACGCTTTTAGTAAATAACTCTGATCAAATTATCGATATCGACCTTGAAGTTCGTAAAGCATTAAATTTAATCGAAACAGGTATAGATACAATGCTTGATATGAAAAAAATAACATAGTATTTTCATTTTGTTTTTATCTGTTACTTAATTCAGTAATTCAAATACATACATACTTATTTCACTGGTGTCAACAACCAGTTAAAAGTGCAATAATTCGTCTGTTTCCCTATGTAAGTCTATAGGATTAGAAATGCAGTGTTTATCACATACAACATCCTTTTAAAAACGTCAATCTTTTGTTTTTCAATATTTGCAAGACCTAAAAAAGCAGATTGTAACACTGCACCATCGTTCTCTCTACTCAAAAGTAAAATAATCTTCGTCTTAGGCATACGTGTAATTAATTTAGTATCTAAGTTTTGTGTATGAGAATGCAGTTGAAGTACTTTATGCACTGCTACCATTTTGACTATCGAGAATAATTTTATTCTCTCTTTAGCTCTGTGAAATTGAAAGTATTGTGGCAAATCATGATTTCTTCGAAGATACATTGATAACGAGTCGAATGCGTGTTGCTATGAGCTATTTATATACACATTTGTTAAAAGAGTTTATTGAACAATTAGAAATGGTATGTTATTAACAGATGGATTATTTTAAAAAGTCTCCTTTCCATGTTCTCATCACATAGATTTGTACAAGTTCTAAATGGCATTCACGTCGAGCAGCTATTGAATTTGCTCAAACTTTGATATTTTGCAATCTATTCAATTCTCGTCCATATACCAAACAATTAAATGAAATTTTGCTCAAGTGTCTATTTGATGAACAATTGGAAGTGCGAACAATAGCATCAATGACTTTATCAGGTTTTTATCAATGTGGTTATATTAAATTAACTGATAAAGATCTGGTAGGATGAAGCATTTTCTCTTGTTGACAACTATCTTTTCAATGTTTCTTATTTCAGAACTATTTTAATGTTATGAGTAAGACCAATTATTTTACAAAAATCAATGGCAAGAAAGTCATATCGGGAGAGAATATTATCAAACGGCATGGTGGTTAGTATATTTCACCGATAAAATCAAATGATTGATTTCCAAAGATCGAGCTCTTGATATGCTTTATTTTTAATTATGATTGTAGGTGTTTTGGGTCTTTGTGCAATTGTTCTTTCGAGTCCATATGATATTTCAATGTATGTAGCAGATGCACTAGTACGTCTCTGTGAACATTCACAGGATGCTGATCTCATACAGGTATATCAAATTACAGTTATTTTTATGTGAGCATTCGTCATATGTACTTCATTTTTAGACGTCGATAAAGAAATGTTTGTCTGAATTCAGTCGAACACACTATAATTTATTGCATGAGCATCGAGAAAAGTTCACCGAAGATCAACTTGTGATTTTGACTGATGCTTTCGTTTCGCATAGTTATTATGCTTGATAATGAAATAACATACTTGTAGATTCATAAAAATTTTATATTGCTTATCCTTCTAATATAGTCACGATAAATAGTCTTTTATTTTTCTTATCAACATATTCATACCGCTAAAAAGATGATGTCCTTCGACGACGCAGATTTTATAAAATCACTATTCTTTTTTTTGTCATCAACCCTGTTTTTTCCTTGGCTGGATGAAACAGGATTATGCCATTACACTCTGATTCCGGAATAAAGTACAAGTAGAACAGAATCATCTTTTAAAAAAATAGAACTGCATACACAATTAGCCTAGATTCTAAGATTAATAGAAGTCATACGTCGAATCTAACTCCAGAATCATACATAGTAGCTAAATTTCAAGAGACCTTTAAAAACAACAGGACATTGTGAGTGTAATTTGAGGCAGATTGACTCTATATCTGTTAGCGGTAATTCACCATGATTCTACCTATAAGATCTCCTTTCTTCCTTTTCTATATGTTGTGTGATACATATATATGAATGACGATTTTAGGACGTTTCAAAGAGAATAGGATTAAATAATCATTCTGTCGAAATTCCCAACATTTCCTCGCTACAAATTTCGTTCAGGATCGACTAATTACTCATTTGAAATTCAATAGCAAATTACTTAACATCACGATAAGGAATATTGATTAATATCTGCTTTTTATTGAATTTATGCGTAAATTAAATTATGGAAAAACTTGAATTCATTTTAAGTTTCCACTATTTGCATTAAATTCTTGTTATTTTATCTCATTGAAGCGAACAGGGTGTGGGGGTGAGGGTTGGGGTGGGTGAGTGTGGGTGGGTGGGTGTGGGATGTGGGTGGGTGTGGGGTGTGGGTGTGGGTGTGGATGTGGGTGTGGGTGTGTTAAAGAATACAAGGTTCACACCTGCACTCACACCCCACATCCATACCCACACCCACACACACCCACAGCCACCCTCCACACCCACCCACACCCACACCCTCGACAAGAAAAGTTCACTTTATGAAGTGGACCTTAAACTTACGTCCGATGACGACGAACAACTTCGTGAATTAACTGATTATATACGAGGGGAGGTCGACGGCAGTGGATGGTATCGAACGGGTAAACTGCTGCTCAAAATAAGTCAATTCGATAAGGCTGAAGAACTGTATATGGCACTACTCGAACAGGCATCTAACGATAGTGATAAAGCATATATCTATAACCAACTTGGATGGTCGAAAAATGACCAAGGANCCACACCCACACCCACACCCATGGATGTGTTATCATGAAACATACACTCGAGTTGTACTATTTTACAATGCATTACAATGTTATTTATATACCCGGGATTATTATTATATTATCTACAATATTAGTGATATGTTATATTAAAAATGAGGTAAATAAATTCATTTTATATTTAAAAATTTCTCTTTTTACATATTGAGTTGAGTATGAGTATTTTTGAGATGAGATGAGATGAGTCATAAATGTTATCAGTGTGGGTCAGATGGCTATGTTGTCTGATTCAATCGGAAGAGGAAATTGCCATAGCGAAGCAGTGTAGTACTAGGGAAAGCCTTTATGAGTCGTTGGTCCCTACCGTTAATACGGCATACCTTCGGCCATTGCTCTACCAGTTCGGTGTGGTCCGCTCTGTGTTACCTATGGCAGTTCGCACAAGGGATCTCTCCCTTGTCGCGCGCGCGTAAGCCAAAATGAGCCGAGAAACAAAAGTGAAATAGCAAATCAATTTATTGAGCAATAAAGAAAAAATTACATTTTCTTTCGAATTTTTTCAAATGTTTCTTTATATTCCAAAAGATGTGGATGGGTTGAAGGTAATTTTTCTTGAGCAATTTCTATCGCTTGTTGAACAGTTTTCATTGCCATACTATATTTTCCAGTAGATAAATATAATTTTGCTAAATTGTGATATACAACAGCTAAATCAGGATGATCTTTTGGTAATTTCTTCTCACGTATTTCTAATCCTTTTTGAAAATATGTCAATGCTGTTGAATAATCTTTCATTTCTCGATATGTTTCACCTAAATTTATATATGCCAATGCACAATCCAAAGGATTACATGGACCATTTTCTTGTATAGTTAATGCTTTTCGATGAAATACTAGTGCCTTTTCATAATCACTCAGTTCTCGAATAGAGGCGAATGGAGTAGATGATTCTGTGGGATCAATTTGACAAGGCCGAAGAATNAAATACTAGTGCCTTTTCATAATCACCCATTAATCGATGAACATCACCAATATTACTGTATGTTAAAGCTAGGAGCGGATGATTTTCAGGTAAGGCCTTTTCACGTATTGAGAGACATTTTTCGAAATTTGCAAGTGCTTTTGGATAATCTTTCATACTGTGATAAATCATTCCAAACCAGTTGTATGGATAAGCCAAATCAGGATGATTCGCAGGCAGAACTTGCTTTTTGATTTCCAAATTCTTTTTAGAATATTCAAGTGCTTTCGAGTAGTCACCCATCTTGAAATACACTCCACCTATGTTGTTGCAGGAAATAGCCAACTCGGGATGATTCGGAGGCAGAACTTTTTCTTTTATTTTAAGTGCTTTTTCGTAAAATTCAAGTGCTTTCGAGTAGTCACCCATATTGTTATACACTCGACCGATTTCGTGGTAGGAAGTAGCCAAATCGGGATGATTCGGAGGCAGAGCTTTTTCTCTTATTTTAAGTGCTTTTTCGTGAAATTCAAGTGCTTTCGAGTAGTCACCCATGTTGTTATATGTGCACGCGATGTTGTTGTAGATATTAGCCAATGAAGGGTGATCTTCTGGTAGAGTTTTCCGGTAGATTTTGAGTGATATCTCATAGAATGAAGCTGCTTCTTTGTATTGTCCTTGGCCGTGTTTCAGCATTCCTAGCATGTGATAGATATGTCCTTTATCGCTGTCCTTGGGAGCCTGTTCTAGTAATGCCGTATATAATTCTTCGGCCTTGTCAAATTGACCTATTTGGAGTAGCAATTTACCCATTCGATACCACCCAGTGCTACCAGATGTTTCTTGCCGTATACGATCAGTTAATTGATGTAGTTGTTGATCGTCATCTGCTGTAAGTTTGAGATCCACTTCGTAAAGTGGATTGTTCTTGTCGATTTTTCGAACTTCACCAATTCGAAAAACTGTGTGCATTGAGAAGAGTATTTCATCTTCTTGTGCAAAATCACTCAGTTCTCGAATAGAGGCGAATGGAGTAGATGATTCTGTGGGATCAATGGTCATTTTAAAAAGAACACCGACCATATCTGTTGTTCCTAAGGCATCCGTGGCGAAGTTGAGAGAAACCTTTCGATTTTTACTGGTGGATAAAAAATTATTGAATGAGATAAGTCCACCTTTGCTTTTAGTGATTTTGTCGAAGTCTACGTTTGGTAATCCCTGTCCTCGATAAACAAGAAAGGTCTTACCATGGTATTGATTGATTTGCTTGCTGTGTAAATCTTCAATTTGTCGATGGACATCACATAAATAGAATCCCATTCGGATTATAATATCGCCATCGATCGTACGTAATGCTCGATTAAGCATTTTGTACGTGAAGCATTGGCGGGTATACCACAAAATGGCCTTTGATGAACGATAATTACGTTGAAATTCATCAATAATTTGGAGTTCTTTACGATTGCCTTGATATTTTTCTTGGCAAAAGATGACCAAGTCTTGGATGGCCTGTTGATCATGTTCCATATCAAGGAGTATTTCCTTGAATATTTGAGTATACATGAAAGAAGGTTCTAGCCGATTGAGATCTTCGCTAGAACTTCCTTCATTGACACTGATAACACTGACAGTTACCTGGTCTTGATCACATTGTTTGATAGTCATTGCCAGTTTTTCACAAATGTGTTTAATTGAGGTATATACACCTTTAATTTTGGACCAGTTCTGAGCCCATTCTTGGTGACGTTGTTTGTTGCCACAGAATATGTATATGCCATCTAATTTTGGCATGTCATGAATTTGTGGGGCCAGATTTTGTCCAAGTGAACCCGAGGAGATGACAAATGATGTCTCCTCGCTGTTTTCTTGGAGCTTCTCAATACATTCTTTGGCTGTTGTACATGGGTTTACATCATTAACAACACCGCGCAATTGCGCGAGTGTGTTTTGGCAGTCTTCATTTGCCATATTGATATTATTGTCGACCCAAATCACCAGATAATTTTCAGCCATTTGGCGCCGTCGTTGTCGACTCATTTTCAAGGAAAATTTTGCTGTTGAATCAGTAATTGAATACAGTGAACAATGGATTGCAATTTGGATAAAGTTCGCCTTTTCTATTGATATTTTCGATATCGATGTTTTTTTTAATGCTTTTCTACGAATGCAAATGTGGTTTTTTTTTCGTTGACACTCAAAGATAAACTCTCACTAGTATCAATAAATGCAAGAAGAGTATGTAGCAATATCATATATTTTATGGTTTTTTTTTCCTTTCCAACTTAAGTTTGTTCTGTTTGACATGAAATTTTATTGTCTTTATAAAACGAGGTTGACAATGCAAGATAAGAAGAACTTAAGAACTATTAAATAGAATGATAAGAATCATAGCAAGAAGAAAAGAATACAAAGTGAAGGTATCATTATCGTAAAAGTGTAAGCTTCTAATACCTTATATTGCAGAAAAATAGTACTTTAGAGGAACAAAACGTGGGTTTGAGTCTTGTCTTCGGTAACATTGACACCTATCCACATTGACACCTATCCACATCCACACACCATTCCAAAAATTGAAGCCGATAGTGGTGTTGAAGAAATGAATGCTGCCTTTTTTAATCAAAAGTAAGTGAAAAACATTATCATTATGACAGTACTTCTGCAAAAAACAAGAGACATCAACAAAGAAGTATGTTAATAGCAAACAAACCGAAACAGACACTAATGTAGTTTTATGACCCAAAATGCTTAAAAAAATCAAAACAATAACATACAGCACGTTGTTGCAACAGAGGAAAAGGAGGATCATTGTGTCTTATTGACCGTTTTGTTATAGAAAAATCAAACGGTCTCATTGAGTATTAGAGTTTCTCTCGTGTAAAAGATCGTGTAAATCTATCAGGGAATTACGATGAGAGTTAATCATTATAAGATAAAAGTCCTACTGAGATTGAGATAAATCTGATTTTGATGATCAAAATGAATTCATATGAGGATTACTAAATGAAAAACAAAAATATGTCTTTTTCAGATTGCGTTTTTGTTTATTTTAAAATATATACTGAACTGGATATTTCATATCTGTATCAATTTTAGCTCTTGGATAAGAAAACTATCTCTATGATGAACTATGATAGTATTTAATTTGTTTAAGATGCATAATAATCACACTTGCTGGGTGTAAGAGTGAGCTTTCTTTTTTTTTCTTTTAAAACACTCTTATCAGAGACTGACGGGATGCGGGACCAATCCTGTCCCGTCCCGTCCCGTCTCGTCCCGGGACGGGACGGGAGAAGAAAAAAATAAGTAGGGCGGGACTGGACAGGACACGGGACAATATGTAGCGGGATGCGGGATAGACGGGACTCAGTGCTTCTCCCGCTTACTTCCATTAATAGA